TTTTTATTATTTGGATAAAAATCCCGGATGGGTAATAGATGTCTATGGTAATGACGACTTTCCTGAGGATTACTAGACTTGTGGTCAACCAGTTGACGTCCCTGTGATATGGAGCTTCCATGAGAGATTTTTCTTTATATTTCTGCTACATTTATGTGAAGACTATGTCTTATTATTTGTGATGTAATAAACACTTGTGATGATACTATTTATAATTTGTCGGCTTATGTGTGTGACTGATCTCTAGGCGCACATAAGATTATGTATCTCATTTTATCCTTAAAATCGGGTGTGATACTCCACATACTAGTGAGCAAAGACAATTGGCGGTTTTCAACATTTGTAATGGCTCGAACAGACACTACTACATACTTCTTAATATATGATGGAAAATTTCTATCAAGTAGTGTTTGTAATGGTTTCAAGTTTCATCGTGGATTAATCGTCATGGATTAACTTGCATGACAATTATTGAGAAATCATCACAGATCAACGCAATTTGTAATGGTTCTAGACCATCATAGAATAACCCAAGGCCCAATTAGCCCAATCAATACTCAATGCCGCTGTGACAGAAAATAACCGTCATGGATTAATTGACACACTATCATAAATGCTTATGTGGATGTTTACATGGATGATGATGTGGATGCTTATATCATCAGCTCAGCCCATTTATTAACAGGCCAAAATAAAAGGTGGGCCAGTTTTCAGCATATTTTTAGTGCAATTTCATCCATTTTCAGCCCAATTCCAGGCATTTGGATGCATCATGATCACCAATTTTTAGTGTACTTTTCAGCCCACTATTATAGTACATACAACAAATAGATACAACCCATATACGCAACCCATTTTCACACCTACAACAAACCCATTTTCACACATACAAAATACCACAACCCACTTTCACACATAATAACCGATGCTTTAGGGTATTACATTCAATTGGGACTTTAGGGCATTTTGGTTGAACAGTGTAACTACCCATGTCATAAATTTAGGAGAAATTTGTATATTTGATACCAACTAGCTATGACATAAATTTGGACAAATTTTGATATTTGACACGCCTTGCTGGTTCTAACACCCAATCTACACGCCTTTCAAAATTTAATACTGCATGTACAGATTCATGTATTTTAACCTTTTTATTTATTTTCTATTTCTTACATCTTCTTTTTTCTATTTCTATGCCAATAATTTAAAGGACGATTTTGGCCTTGTCCTTCGTCTCATCTCCCACTCTCTCACTTCTCCCTCCCTCCCTCAGCAGTCTCTCCCTCCCTCACTTCTCCCTTAGGTGCCGCTTTCTCTCCCTCCCTCTCTTCTCATGGCGCGGCGACCCGGTGGCGTGGACTCGTGCGGGTGCGACGGCGCGATAGCCTGGTCACGCAGCCTTGCGTGGGCGCGGCGGCCTACCGGCGCGGCCTCGCTCGGGCGCAGGCGCATCCTCACGTGGGGGCAGCGGCGTGGCCTCGCAGCCACGGCGGCCTGGCCTCACGGTGGCCTGGCGCCGCCGTCTCGCAGGTGCGGTGGCCCGGCCGTGATGGCGCCCCTCCTCCCCGACGCGCCAGATCTAGTGATGGAGCAGCCGAATCTGGCCGCCCATGCTCCCCCGGAGGTGGGTCTAGTTCTGAAGGAGCGGATCCGGTAGTGGTGTGACCGGATCCAATAGCAGAGGCGGTGATGCGGCTGGGATGCGGGCGGCGGCGGCGGTGGGGTCACACGGAGCAGGCGGACTCGCCGGTGGGCTGTGAAACGGGCTCGCTGGTGGGCTCTGGGCTTTTTTTTGTTTTTTTAATTCATTAACTATGGCGGGCATTTTCAAGGCGTCCGCCTCGGTTAATCAATTAACCGAGGTGGTTGCGTTAAGGTCGGATTAACCGTGACCTTTCGACGGTGGCGGTTGGCTTAATCACCTCGGTTAAGCCATTTTGCCCGTCTCGGTTAAGATTCCTATAGTAGGGAATGTTCATAGCATCTTTATTTCTTTTATATGAAAATTTGCTGCCAGATCTCACACATAAAAAAGGAAAAGAATCAACCAAATCTCACAGATAACAAAGCTTCCATCAAATCACGCATAAAAAATCCTACCAAATCTCACGCTAGCGTGAGAGGCAATGGGCATGCTTGAGCCAGTGCGGGTGCTCGCCGCCACGCCCCGCACGCCCACATCGGTGCTCGCCCATCCCCACTCATCCCACCCCATCCCACCGATACGTGGGGATGAGTTTGGCCCCAGATTCCATGGAAATATTCCTACTGGGATGTTCTTGACTTCAGAAGTCCCCCAACCAAACACCAAAAAAACAGGTCCATCCCATCCCTATCTCACCTAGTCCCCTCAACTAAACACGACCTTATAGAACAAATGCACGCTAGTCCTTCCTATCTCCCATGAAGAATAGAACATGCCGCTGCCATAGCCCATAACAAGAGTTTGAGCGGCTAAGCTTTTAGCGGTTTTCGATGTTCGTAATGGCTTGGCCCTATTCGCTTCAACTTATTAGCCTGGCTTGTCAGCCATGGTACATTATTTTTTCACTCACAACAAATCAGCGAACAATACTTTTTAGTTTGGCTTTTCAGTGAAGTGAATAGTGCTTTTCTCCTTTGAGGTCCCTCCTGAGTAAGCCTCTCACCGCATGGTCCTTTGGTGTGAAGCCTCTACTTGCATGCCCTTCTCCACCACATTTTTTTTGGATAAGAGAAGTTTTATTAATTTCAAGATTGTTACATCGAGACGATCCAAAAATGTTGAAGCACTTCTGACATCTACATAACCATGATGCGCATAACACCGTACATGATGTTTAAGCACTTGAACAAATATGAGAATCACATCATTACGTAGAATATAATAGACCAAGAAGACACATGTAAACTTGAGTGGTGTATCTATTACAGTAAGACCTTAGCTTGTTACTCGAAAACAGTCTCATTAATTAAACTGTAACATGCATATGTGTATGCGTGAGTTGAGCAGGGAAAAGTGATGTGTGCCGACTGCCGGCCGCAGCCAGAAATATCCAGGTAAGCTTATTGCATATTAGCGGGAGGAGACGTGTGTGGTGGACATGACTCTATCCATGGACAGTGCCATATATACTCTCTCTAACCCTTTTTATCCGTCGTTCCCATGGTTTAGAAAAAATCAAGCAAACTTAATTTTGACCAAATATATAAAAAAAAATATTAATATGTATGATACATAATTAATTAGATAGATCGTTAGATCTATTTTCATATTAAATTTATTTAGAGATATAAATATTGCTAATATTTTAAGCAAACATAGTCAAAATTTAAAAAGTTTCACCCACACATTTCTCATAGCAACAAATATAAAGGGACAAAGGAGTATATAGTCGCTTCAATAATACGAACAGCTGAGCACGTACACACTGTCCGGCCCGGCACGCCGTTTGTAATCTTGCAAGCCTGTTGGATTCTTGTAAATGAATTGGCTCGCTCATCACGCAGACGTAGAGTATCTAGGGCCATCGTCAGCTTTTTGTGCTCACGCACACACTTTGCAGAAGCTGATAGATGGTGACAGACGATCGAGCGAGGAAATTATTGGAGTAAAACGAACTGTACACACTAGACCCGGGACTTGGCCGTGCCATTTGGAGACGGGTCATGGCACGATCCAAAGCATGGCACGGCACGAAATATTTTGGGCCGTGCCGGCACGGCACGAGGGCCGTGCTGTGTCTAAGATCTCGGCATGGCGGGCCACATGGCCCGGCCCGTATTTTGGGCCGTGCTTGGATTGGCACGACACGAGAATGACACGTAGACACTTCTACAACTATATAATGTAATTTTATAACATTTACTATACTATCTCTCATCTAATTCTTGAATAGATTATAAAAATCATTAAAACTTTCATAAAAATAGTACACACAAGAGATATATATATATTTCATATCACAAGCAGAAAAGAAAACTAGTAGAGATATTTGGAGGGTCGTGCTTGGGCTGGCACGACCCGAAGACGTGCCGACGTGCCATGGGCTGAGCTTGGGCTGAAGAAAAGATTCACCGTGCCATATTAGCACGCCCGACGTGCCTCTCGTGCCTAGAGAGCACGACCCAAAGCAGCATGTGAGAGGGCCGTACCGTGCCGGCCCGTCCCGGCCCAAGTCCCACCTCTAGTACACACGTTGGATGCTTTTTCTCCTTTCCGACGACCTATATATGCATGCATGTGTGGCCTTAGGAAATTGAAACGGTAGCTAGCTAAATCATCAATTAATTGAATGGAAGAGACGACGCGAGATAGCAGCAATGTGGATCCATGGACGTGGACGACCTACCAATACCGAATCCATCAATCATATGAGTTGGATCGTACGCATGCATGCATGCGTCCATTTGAAAGCTTGCTTGCGTGTTTATCATTCTGCAGCTCGATCGATCATCAAATCTGATCTCTGGGGGAATGCAGCGACACGCTGAACCTGCAGCTCTCCCGGCCGCCAACCGTATTATTGCACATGCACACACGATGACGAGGACTTTCTCATTTGCATGCTTTCCCTTTCCACCAGTCAACGACATATATACATATATATATATATATATATATATATATATATATATATATATATATATATATATATGTGGCCGGCAGAGAATCAGTGCAGTAAGTAGGGGTGAAAACGGTACGGATATTTTCCGTTTAAAGGGTTCAGATCTGTCCATATCTGTGTCCAGATATTCAACATCCGATACTGTATCTGTATCCGAATACTTATATCGTATATTTATAATATCGATATCCAATCATATCCTATCCGATATGGTTGACACTATCCATAGTCGAATTCGATTCCAGACAGAAATATAAAAACAAATATAATATCAGTGATATCCGTTCGTATCTGATCCGTTTTCATCCCCAATACTCCCTCCATTCCAAATTATAAGTGCACAACATCCCATTGTCCAAGCAGGTGCAGTACTTCAAGTCCACCAAGTCACAGATGGCCACCAAGTTGGGCTCCCGTGCGACCAACCTCCTGCTCTCCAACTCCGTCTTCCTCTTCAGCATCGGCAGCAACGACCTGTTCGTCTTCGCAACCGCGCAGGCGTCGGCGTTGCAGAACAAGTCAGCTGCCGACCAGCAGCGCGACGTCGCCAAGCTCTACGCTAGCCTCATTTCCAACTACTCAGCAACCATCACGGTAACATACATTTGATGATCATCAGTAACTAACCTGTTCATCAATTTGTAAGCTCCGAATCAAGAAATCAATTTCTCCTTCACAAATTAATGACGAATCACGATATATAAGTGCGTTCAAATAAAAGACGCTACTAGCTATATACTAAGATGATAGATACTGCATACATACGCACTGCAGGAGCTGCACGCGATGGGCGCGAGGAAGTTCGCCATCATCAACGTGGGGCTGCTGGGCTGCATCCCCGCGGCGCGGCTGTCGTCCGACGGGGCGACGGGCGCGTGCTTGGACGGCCTGAACAAGCTCGCGTCGGGCCTGGACGACGCCCTCGCGTCCATGTTCGGCAGCCTCGCCTCTCGGCTGCCGGGCTTCGCCTACTCGCTCGCCGACTACTACGGCCTGTCGGCGGCCACCTTCGACGACCCGGGGGCGTCGGGGTACACGGACGTCGCCGACGCCTGCTGCGGGGGCGGGAGGCTCGGCGCCGAGGCGGACTGCCTGCCCAACGCCACGGTGTGCAGCAACCGCGACCAGCACGCGTTCTGGGACCGGGTGCACCCTTGCCAGCGTGGGGCGATGCTGGCCGCCCAGAACTTCTATGACAGCCGCCCAGGACGATACACGGCGCCCATCAACTTCAAGCAGCTGGTTTACACCAGTTTATGATGATCTTCATCTAGCTAGTACAAACCACCGTCGAGGAGTATAGATAGATATATTATTATTGGGCCCATCCTTAATTAGCCCTTTTAATTTGTTTTCCACCTTCAAGTTTACACGTATATATATACTGTCATTAATTATACCTCAGTCTGTATAGTGTATACATTTTTTTCTGATAAAGGAAAGATCTCAATTATGGTATCGAGTTGAAACAATAATCGTGAACCCACCTCGGGCCTTTGCTTAAAAAAGCACGGCCTAAACAAAGATAAAAAAAAAGAGTTTGACACTCTAATAATGATGACTATGAATACTAAGACTAGAACGCCAGCCTATTAGGGGCGGATCCAAGAGTATTCATGCACATTCTTGAGAATATCCAATTTTTTTATGCACTCTTAAGTACATATTTATGTATATATACATATATAAATATAGTGAAGTATTCTCTTGTATTTTCGCTGACTTTGGCCCGTTTCGGCAAAAACTATTCGTCTGGCTCACAGCCTCCCCACTTCACACGACAGCCCACTAGGCCCATGAGGCCTCTCCACCCCTTCCGCTAGCCCTGGCACCAACTTGCCCAGACGCCCTACCCTTGACCCCAACTACTGACCCCTGGTCTTGGACCATACGAGCTGGCAATTCCCCAACCCCCATTCTAAATCTCTAAACCTAGGCTGACCGATGTGGTGTGGTGCCAGCGTCCGGGTTCACGGTTGACCTAAATTAGATGTCCCTTGCAAGTGGAAAAGAATCTGTGCCCGTTTGACTTGCGGCGGCGGCGGAGGAGGCAGAGGATCCCCGATCTGCTGTGGTGGCTTAGGCGTCCTTTTGGAGTCTAGGCAGCGAGGCTTTCCCAGTCAAGTGCAGACGCTTCATCAAATTAGCAAAAAAGAAGACACTCAGTCCAGAGACCAAGTAACAAAACACGTCTCTAATGTTATATTAGAGAAGGACCAAGTTGCAACACCTCTATGATATGTCCAGGCAAAACACGTATTTAGCCTAGGTGAGGGGCAAATATCGCAGATGACTCTCACTAAAACACGTCTGTGATATATAGTTGTGGTCTGACTGAGATATGAAATGGATATCAAAGATGGGAGTCAAGAAACTTGCATCAGTGTCACGGACCTGAAAAACTTATCAATTCTAGTGAACTAACGACTTCCAAATCAGCACCCCTAACTCTCTCATCTCGTTATCTCCTTCTGTATATGTCCTATCTCCAACATCCTCTCTGCTTGGTGTCTACACAGTAGATCCAAGGAGGACGGGTCTCCCTGAGGTTGATCCACATCTACACACCGGCTTGCCTCTTGCTAGTCCCTCTCCTCTGCAAAGCCTAGCTCTCTTCGACCCCGCGGCGGTGGCAACAGCGACCCAAGGGGGTCTATAGATCCCACTACAAGCGAGTAGGAGGTTCTCTTCTCTCCATCGATTGCCGCCTTCTTCCATTGATTTGCATCTCTCCTTCCCCTTCTCCACAAGTTTGCTTGATGTTCCTTAGTTTTGGTTGTGTAGGCCAAAATGGGAATGAGGCATGTACGCAATCAAATATGAGCCATGATTTAAGCTTCTACTAGCAATGGAGCTAGGAGCTAAATATGTTGACGTCGAGATCTAGGTTAGCTTAGTCCTCACTCCTTTGAATTCATTTCAGAGTGTATGACAAGACTAGCTTGCAAGAAGTTCGCGTCATTCATTTGCAAGAAGAAGTTCGCCTTATTCATTTGATTTCAGAATCGTTTTGTGAGGCTTGGTGGAATGGTAGCTTCATTTATGTGTTTAGTACCATATTTGAGAATTCAGAGCGCTATTACACACATAGCTCCTACATATGGCTATTTCTATGGCCCAATGCTTCGGCAGGCTAGGAGTATTAGGATAGCGTGGCTGAGAGACGTATATAGACCATGCGTGTGGCATGGCTCATGGATCATGTATCAAGGACTTATGTTATGAACTTCCATTGTAGACTCTAGATCATTTGTGTGTTCAACTAATGTGATGAACAAACTTATGTTATAAACCTAAACTACTCTTTCTATGTCAAGTTGAACATGTGCGAGCTATGTGTACTGTTCATAGTATGATCCTAGATGAAGGTTGCAAGGTTTGGTTACCATGGATGGTAGTATCTGAGATGGCTAGATTAGTTGGGTTAAGTTGAGCATTGGGCAAGGGATGGCAACTTAATAGTCCAATTAATTGGAGGGTCCGCTAAAGTTTATCTCACTGCGAAAACATGGGAAAAGCAAGTGGATAATAGTCCAAATTAATTGGAGGGTCCTCAGAAATTTATCTCCCTGTGAAAGCATGAGAAAAGAAGGTGGATACCACAACAACCACGATAGATAATAATCCACCCCAATTAGAACTGCAACCAAATGCACGGGTCAGCCTGAATCCATGAAAAAGTCCAAAATTGCAGGCCAATTTGCCCAAATTAGGGACGAATCTCGATGGCTGGACTCTGGAGCTTACCCAGCTTGAAGAAGATGGCAAGGCTTGAGCTCACCCAATGAATCACGCCATAGCGGTGGTAGAGCTGCACATCCTTTGATGATGGTGCGCATGACCATGGCCACCAAAACAGTTCCCCACCACAAACAGTACACGTGGCCACCTACGCGTTCGTTCTTTGATACACCCTTCTCTTACCCATGACACTTTGTGGCTAGAAATACACATAGATGGATAATGGCAGCCCTCCAGCAGCGGACCAGAACCGCGGATAAAACGACATCTCTACGAGCAGGTCTGGGAAGGGACACCCGGAACTGCAACAACCCAATTCTGACAAGGGCTGGCATCAGCGGCTGTGGATGTATGGAGAGGCAAAGTCAGATGGGGATGGATGGGACAGGGAGCAGGAAAAATGACTACGAGAAAGGGAACGGATTGTCCCCTTCATTTGAGGGAATCCGAGGCTTTTAAGAGAGTGAGAAGAGAAATTTGCAGAAAGGTGATGAGAAAAAAATAGTTATTCTCTTATATGACAGTTGTTGAGGAATGGATTGTGTTTCTCAATCTGACGAGGTTGCTCTCGTCTAAGTGTCATATTAGTTTAACCTAATGGAGTGTCTCGTAGGAGTAGAAGCTGCCTGAGTAGGTCCTCATAATTAATGTGGAGCCTATGGCAACATGGACCTGCGGCCCAAGGAACCGGAACGGATAACAATGTTGACATATCCGCCAGCCATCTCGCACCTATACTGAGCAAGATTGATAGATTTTTGTTCCAAATTGGAGAGCATGATTGCTCCACTGTTGAAACAGTCTGTTAGTTTTGCCTGAGATGGAAGGACATAGGGACGACTGATCAAAGGGAGGATAGAGAATCACGAATGTTGTAAGAAAGCAAGAATTTATTCGCATTTGACATATCTACAGCTACTTCATCACAGAGATTCCCAAAAAAAAAAGGCTACTTCATCACAGAGGAAACATCACATTAGAACAAAAAATGAGGGCAGATACAACTAACTACCGCTAACCTAACCTATACCACAGTATGTCGATCAGGTCAAACAAGGCCCATCATCTGCCATCACGTCTAGGACAAGCTACTACTCTATATCTAATTGGTCATAGAACCCAGACGACAGGTGTCGCTCTCAATTCATCTCCATGCATGACTCCCTCTGGCACAAGGCTTCACGATAGAAAAATAACCAAATCTCATTTGGGCCATCGGAATGGAACACAATGATTAAAAACGCCACTAGGTAAAACCTACTGTGAGGACCGAGCCTAGCTCGGTTGGTTCGCTCGCCAGGTGTGCCAGCGGCCGGGCATGAGTTCGACCCCAGGATCGACACTCACGCGCCTCACTGCGATTGGGAACAGAGTTCGTCGCTCGTTTCGTCGCAGTGTATTTTCGTTCAAAAAATGAATGGGAATGGGGAATCTCCCCCGTTCAAAAATAAAAGGTAAAACCTACTGTACTTTCTTAGCAAATATGCTTGCTACTTTCGGTTAGAAACTTTGTAAAGACGGAAATATGACTGCAATTATGATCGTTTAGACTTCCTCCGTTTTAAAGCATAGATTGTTTTTAGTTTGGTTATATGTCATATATATATAAACTAAAGTGTTATTAAAGTAGGAGGTCGTTTTAATTTGGGTTCTACTGTGCATTAATACTTTTGACTTGGCAAAGCTAGTGGTGTTATCTGCAGGACACTGTCAGCAGCTAGCACCAAGAAATGGAGGCGGGGGTGTGTGTGTTTTCGTTGGGGTATTCAATTTGTTGATGTGGAGGGTCCGTAGAGAAACAAGACGGATGCACCGGTGGAGCAAGGATGATAGGCAGTTGTAGATTTCGAAGAGTTGTAGTTAATTGACATTCATTTTTATTAACCGTTTATTAGGGTCCTAACATTATAGTTGAAGTTTTTAGATTTTGAAATTCAATTGTTTTGATTTGTTCAAATGAGCTCCAATGGGGAGACGCCTTAAAACAAAGATCGATGAGATCTAAAATTTTGGAATTCAAAGTTGTTCCATGTATTCAATACCAGTAGCACCCTACCATCGTTTAGAGGCCAAAATATTCAATACAAATTCGGAAAAGTTAATAGAAAAGGGTAGCATCCCACACTAGTTAATTTACAAGTGACCGTATGGTGCAATGGTAGGGTGCTCGCATAGGACAAGACATACATGTGCGTATTTTGTGAGGCGGATGTGGCACCTGCCTCTACAAATCAACTGTTCTATGTCAACACTGTAGCTGAAAGTTGAAACATATGGTACACATGTTCGAGTCGTACACACTTCAACGGAACAACTAGCTGACAACACACAAAGTGCAAACCAGAATAAGCGGGAATCATCTCTATATTATCACAAACTATAATGCAAGGTTCATATGAAAGCAAACTAACAGCATAATTTTCTTGAGCACTAGCTCCCTACCAAATGCGTGAGGAACACGTTATGACGAAGATTATTGTGTACACGATCGTGACGAACTTATTATGGAGTCATGTGAC